AGAACCATAAGACTGCAGATCGAGGCTTGTTTCTCTGGAGGGAGCTCTGTGGAGATGAGTCTGTGCTGCAACACCAGTGACTGGGCTGGAAAGCTCAACGCACCTAATAATTACACTGGTTTCAGTGGATGGAGGCTAATGTGCCAACTTTTCCGAGCATGTTAAGATTTACAATAAACTCTCACAGTGACATTAGGCTCTTCAGATTTTTTAATCGTATTAATTAGAATTTAAAATGATAGCAAAAAGGTGACCTGCAGTGACTGGGAGTGCTTTTCCCATGGTGTTTTGGTGTAGACCCAGTTCACAGCTTCAAGTAGCTGTGATGCAATTTTTATTGCTAATAAAAATTGGGGAAAGAGTGGATGACTCGCCATGAAGGATCCATTACTGACCAAAAGGTCTGAAAGCATGTCAGCCTAAAGTCCCATTAATAAAAAGGTCAAGAGTCAGTGGTCATGAGAGGGGACCAGCAGTGTGCAGCCACTGGGTAGGTGTCTAAAGTCATCCGCTAACGCAAATATTAAGGTTTCAAAATGTACTCTTACCACAAAATAAATAAAATTACTATTTTCTGTTTGCTTAAATGTAACTGGAAGTGGCAGGCTGTAGGCTATTCAAAGTCAAGCTCTTAGCATCAACTGTTATGTGTTTTAATCCAAAATGATGTCAGTTTTTCTCATTCTTTCTGAGATGTAAAACAATAACAGAAAAACTGCCACATCAAGAGCTATGACTAAGAGCTAAAAACTTTTCAGAGGAAGTGGCAAGGCACCATCATCATAACATTTCCAGTCTTGTGATCAAATTAATTTGTATCTACAATAAATTCAAAAGGTGTAATTCTTTATAAAATCAAAGGAGGTGGTCCTTAATTCCAGCAAGGTGGCCCACCTCTGATGTAAAACACTGCAGGTGACCCCTGTACTGTTTATTTCTTTCCAGAAAATGATATTTAGCAAGACTCCATCAAGCTAAAGGTTAGAGGTTAGATGAGCCTTTGGTTTATAATTCTATACAACCTTTCACAAATGGAAGTTGTAACGAGCTGAGAGGTCTTCCGGCTCGGCCACAGAGGAGCAACAATCCTCAAAATGTGAGGTTGGGTCTTGGGTGTGGCCAACAATGGCCGTCTAAGCCCAGCTGTCCCAACATCGAGGACAAGTGCAAAGCCGGAGCAGACTGGGGGCAGGGTGTGGCATGGCAGGGGTGCCATGGTGACAGAGCAGGCCTCGACAGAAAAGAGATGCTAAATGAAGCCATTGTCTGGCCCAAGTGAAGCACACTGCACAAAGAATGGCACATTCAAACAGTCATACAGGCCTATTGTTGTGGCTGGCCAGCAGAGTGCTGCGGGTCCACAGTTTATCCCACAGGATCCACTACACATCATAAAGGGAGAGCCTGATCTGCGAACATGAAGCTCTGACACCAGCGGGACCTGTGGGAAACGATACTGACCTGGAGGAACCTTTCCGCCAAACAATTGAAAGACTTTTTAGGTCACTTCCTCAATGTAAAAATCACAGGACTGCTTTGAAAATGATTATTCTAACTCTGATACATTTGCTGCTGGAACTGACATGATCTTATATGGGTCTAAAGCAAAGAACAAAAACACAACATCAGACAGATCAGTCTCCTTTTGAGCATCGTTACTGTGTATCGAGCACAAACAATCAGACGATGCACTGAAACATAATCTGCAATTACTGTGATTGGCAACGAATCATTTAAGTCATATTTCAAGCGACAAAGTTAAACCTTCTCTGGTTGTAATTATATTGCAATGTATTGAAAAGTCATATAAAATTCCATGAAGCACTTCCGCACACCTGCAATGACCTAATACACCTTCAGACATTACACAGTGTTTTGTCATATTGCCCCAACCCCTTTGTGATGAAGCAGTACAAAAAGACAATTAAGATGTGACACATGCAGCATGAGTCAATACTTAAACTGAAACAACTAACTATGGTATGTATACTAACTGGATTTTCCACCATTATTTTACTGACAAGTCATCCCTGAATATTTCGGTAAGTACACATCCACTAAAGGCTTACTTAAAGTAATTACAGCCATTAACACATATTTAACGCATGTGCAATAGTGAGACAGGTTTCCACAGTGCATCATGTACAGTAACAATATCACTTATATAATATGGCTCAGGAGGCTATGAAGACAGCTGGTTTAACCACTGACATCTTAAAATGATGTACATTTACATTATTGTCACAAACAGTCATCCCAGAGGTTCAACACCTGCCAACACAGCATCCAGAAACCATGCTGACATATGGCGGTTTTAAGGGCTCAGCTGTGTTACAGCCACTGCTAAATGACATCCATCCATTAGCCAATGACATCCCCCCTTGTTGGTGCTGTCCTTTACTCTTTCAGCACCCCCCTCCCCCCTGCATTGCCAGTCCTGTGAAACGTAACACTCAGTTCATTAACCCAGTTTCCCCAGAGAGGTTTAAAAGTGCACTGACACACAGAAGAGCACCAGGTACAATGCACTGCCACTGTTTATGGATTGGCATAAGACTCTGTTGTGACTGCTTTCCTCAATGGAACAAGAACTGAACTGAAGGCATTGCCAATTTTGATCTGTTTATAGGGATGACTTCTCACTTACCTATAGATAAGCCAGTTTTCTAAATGCCAACTGTTGCAGTTTTCTATCCCCGTCCACTGACATACTACAGAAATAGCTGGGCTAAGATAAGTCTGATTTTATTCACATTCCTGAACATCTTTAGAGCTCGGCCTGCTGTAAGGTTTAGATTAATCACTACTGAGAGCTGCTTATATCAGATTATTAACTTATGAACAGATACAACAGACCGATAAGGGCTCTGGTTCTCCACCGGTAAATTAAACTGAGGACAATTTTGTCAAATTCTGTGTCCGACAGCAGAGAGCGTTCATGTCTGTGACAACAGGAGGATGACTAGAAACATCAACAAACAACCAGTGCCAGCAAAACAAGACCGCGGCTGATGTAGCCGAGGGCTGTGTTTGTGTAAGAGGAAGCAATGCCATAAAGGTGACTGGCATAGCTGCTAACAGCAACTAATACGGTGAACTAACACAGAGCAAAAAGCTTGTCAGATGCAATGGCTATTGTATTTGCTGATCTGTCAGGAAGAAAACAGGCTAACAGCTGGATAAACACACTCACTACCTGAGCTTAGCTGGTGTGAGGGTTCACCATTAAAAGCCAATGCATAATAAATAAATAATGTAATTTGTGAAATTGGGCTATATAAAATAAACAGACATGAATACTGATGCATGCATGCATGCACATAGGACAGCCTGTCTAAACAGGAAAACACAGTCTTTGTTATTATGAACATCATCATATGGGTTTATGCTTTAATCTGGCTATACAGGCCAACAAGTGCAAACCTGAGCATATTCCTGCCAAGCTGATTTATCTGAGAGATAAGTCAATATCAGCCAATAATATTGGTCTATGGGTATTTATCATTCAGGCTCTAATAGAAAAGCTTAAAGAACAAATCACTGGGGAAGTCACGCAGTTACAAAAAGACAGATAACCGGCAATATCCACCTAGACAGAAAAACAAGACACGTAATTCAGATGTCAAGGCCTGTCAACATCTGTAACCAGCCAACTCCCTGTCTGAGCATTAACACTGTGAACAAAATAACAGCATGGTACATCATGTAAGGCTTCTCCCATGTTTACAGTAAAAACATGTCTGCAAATCACACCACAGCAGTAAGCCCACTCACAAGGCAGCAGCCCATTACAAGCACGTACAGGCCCCCTCGATGATTTAAGGCTTTTTAATTCTCGGGAATGCAAGCCTTTTCTGATAAGCGCTTAACTGGGTGAAAGTCTACCACTAGAATGATTATGCTGTGATAATCTGTGTGTCTCTGACTGACCTGTAACTTCATGGCTTTCACAAGTCAGCTATTTCACCTACCAGCAAAGCGACAAAAGTGAATATTAACTCAGAACAGGTTAAGTATCAAACTTCTGAAAGCTCCAGAGGTCAGCCCTTTTTTCAAGGGTAATTTGGCAGTCTGGGCCCTTTATGAGGACCAATCAACTGTATGGGACCTCAATTAACCAATCAAAGATGAGAATGGTATAGTAATGGGACTTGTTAAGAGATGATCTACCCTGGATATCAATATAAACACAATTAAAACATTCTGTTTTAATGAAAATGTGTTGTTATTGTTGCATATTTTACAGCTCAACTCAAATAATACAATACAGACAATACTAGCTTATTGCAGTTATATCGGTATCTCTGAGTATATCAAACAATACATCACTATAGGATTTTTTCCCAGGATCGACCAGACTATAATACAGGGATAAACAATTATTAGCCAGTCGCAATTCAGACTTTTATGAGCTTTAGTCTTTGCCTGTCTTCACAACAACAACCCTGACCCTAACCTGCTAGCACTGTGTAAAGAAGCCCAACAACATGAACATGACTCTCACACCTAGGAGAGTGAATGTAAAGACTTTTCAGTGTATCCTTTCTATGCTGGGAGGATCCTCTCAGGGACCTTGGAGGTCCCCGGATCCCAGCACGGACGGACTGTCGTTTTCTCGTTCGCCTCTTTAAGCTGAAGTGGAAGCAGCTGGAGGTGAGGTTCTCTGTGTGGACAGGTAAGCTTCCCCCACAAGCAGACGCAACTGACAAAACAAAAACAACTTGCAAAAGAGATGCAAATGTCCCACGACTCCTGTTTGAGGACTCTAGTCTGTACAAGGCTCAGGTCCCTGGAGCTGAAGCTCTAGGTGAGGAAGCTCGGTAAATGCAACAAAACACGGTTAACTCGCCACAGCTATCGTTCATGATGGCTGTTTTATTGACTGGCCACACCGGTACGGAGGTCACCACCGCTAACAACGCAACCACACGGCCCGGTGCGGGTATTGTTTCAGCCGGTATGGCAAGAGTAATGCTCCAACGTGACTTCAGTCTTCTTACCTCGCCACGGTGAACATTTCTCTTGTTAGCTGTATCCACAAGTTCATCAGGTAAGCAGGAAAGTGAAGCGCCAGAGAAACACAGAGTCCAGAAGGAGATGATTCAACATACTGGTTGGTCCGGGCTGCTCGTGATGTCATCGGTGCTCTCGGGGAGTGAAATGCGCATGCGCCATCCTTTGTTAGTCCTTTGCTCTAAGGATGTTGTAGTTTAGGTTGTAATCAATACTCTTAACAGAAAACGTAGACGTGCCAGTGTCATATTTAAAGTTCCAGCGCTGACTTTCCAGTGGTAACTCCTGTGTGTGAGTGGGCATGGTTTATCTTATCTGTCTAATTATTTTATTGTTGTTCTAATCACCTGAAGTGTAGACTTTATATTAAAGACCTGTAGCCTACATGTAATGGGGTCATAAGGCATTTATCTCTTGTTCTCTTGTTATATTTACACAAAATATATCTGGATACAGTTTATTTTTGACTGGTAGAACCTCCAAACTGCAGAAATCTTCTGTTCCTCTAATTGTTTGTGTTATGATAATAAACTAGATTTTCTTGATCAAACAATCAACTGTTTGATCAAGAAAATAACCAACAGATTAATCAATAATGAAATTTAGATAGTTGCAGCCCTAGTCTGCATTCATAGCTGACCTGATGTAATCAGGAAAGCTGTGTCTAAACCATAGGCCCTGAAAAGATCTTATGGGAAGTTTTGTTTACAGTAAGGCCAATTTAGTCAGGGAGACCCAGAAGCATTTTATTTTGCCAAGATCATCTTTTTAGGACAGGTATTGTTCTTCTCCTGTGAGCTATTGGTCAGTTGTAACTGTGGCTGTAACCTAAAATGTATAAAACGAAAGCGTAATACACAAACATTAATGTAAACAATATCAGCACTTACAAATCAAATTTAAATGACACGAATACATAAGGAGAATTTAACATGATAATATTTGGACACTTACATACAAATAATAATACATACAGGAATACACTTAGGAACACCATAGACTGTATTTATTAGACTTACACACAAATGTAAACATATTCAATTAGAGGTTTTAGGGAGAACAGTTGCATCTTTCAAAAGATTATTTCTTTATTTCTTTTTTGTTGTTTGATGGAGAATTCAGTTGTTGGAGACAAGGTGAGATCTTTGTGAAAAGACTAAAAAAGGTATAAAAACTCAGGTAACTGTGACTACTAGTTATATTTTTACCACAGAGTCTAGTTTTGTGTAAAACTCAAATATTGAACAAACAAACACAATGGGGTGAGGTAAGGCATAGCTACACTAGAGTGACTGGTGTTTTTAAATTACAAATGTTAACGCTGTTGTTTCTGTAAGATAACATTTCAAGAAAACTGTTTCTGGAAAGAGATGCTGCTGCCAAATTTTTATCAAATGTGATTTCAATTTTTCACAAAACTCCATTGATCACCACTTTAAAGACTGGAGGCAGAAATCTCAAAACCTGGAAACATGCAATCAAAACTATCAGCATGACTAGATGACTAGAATATCACTGAAAAAACAGAGATATTAGTTGTCATGGATAATGATTTGGTGTCCTCTGGTGGAGCAAAGGTAAACTGCATAATGTTTGTTGTGAGTTGATGCACAGCATACATGTGCTGTTGTCACATTACTAAATCACCAATGTTTTGAAATGATATGATATATTTCATCACAGGAAGAAACTCCTCCGGCTCTGAAGTGACTCGCCAGTTTGCGGTTCCTGTCCAGCACCAGATCAAAGGCAATTTGTAAGGTTAAGCTAGATTACTCGTCACATGTTGAAGACAACTAAAGAGTGGCTAGATTCAATGGCAAGAAAAAAAACACACATTACCTGATACATGATACATTTTCATTTACTCTCTAAATAAAGCAAAACAGACCTTGCTGCAGACAACATGAAGGACCTTAATCTAGAACCTCAGTGATACTGGAAATAATTTGACCTCAGCTGTGCCAATTGCTGAGAGATTATCATGTATTTTATCCAACAGACTTGCAGGGTCAGTAGTAGCAGCCTACTCAGTTCATGTCCAAATCTGGTAAACAAAATACTGAAACTGCAACATCACTGATCTTCGGTCTGTTTAAATTAATGTTACAATTTAGTTTTTGTGCATTTCAAAAAGTGGTTAAATTTACAAATTACCTTTTACAAATTTTACTGCCTAATTATGGTCATAATACATTACAACCAGTGTAAATATCCATATAGTGTATAGGCCTATATATAGACAGGGCATTAAATTCACTTGCCTCAGGTCTACATACAATGAATGACTTTCAAAGCCAAATGATATTTCAATTTGTTACAACTAAGTAGACACTTTTATCCTATTCCACTTAATATTCTGTCTACCTCTGAGATAAAATACTTATAAGATTAACCTTGCAGTCTTTTAAAATTATCATCTATCTTCTGGAGAACCCTTGACTGCTGAGAATTCTGGTTAAGTCCACCATTTTGTTTAACAGCTAGCATTTCTTACAGGCAGGCAAAACTTTAACTACATTACTATATATTTCCATTAATCAGAAAACATCTCAAATCAAATCAAGCTAACGTTACACGTGACTTTTACATTTAACATATTCCATAAAACATGAAACTTGGTTAACTGGCCTGACTTTTCTAGAATACCTAGTTTAGTGTTTTACACTAGCTCACAGTTAACTTTAGCAAACATCCATTCTTTGATGGTTAACCTTTAGGTAACATTAATGTAGAACCATTTAATAACCAAGGTTTCTCACATTATTCTACAATCACCATAGATCTAGAGACTGTGAGGTAACTTTATGAATATCAGGTTTTAAAGATCATGAGATTATTGACCCTCCAGGCTACTTCTCTGTCCTTGGAGGCTGCTTGTACTTATGTAATGAGAATAACTGAGTGCCAAAGAGGGAGGTGGAAGTGTGAAGCACTGAAAGGAGAGGGAGCGGCCGCTGGTGATGGTAAAGCCTTGTGAAGCTGTGAGGATTTTTTTCTATTTGTGCCAAAAAAAGACCAGAAGCTTTGGGCTTGAAATGCAGCAAGTATAAGGTAAACAGATTTCTGAAATTAAATCCGGGGACATTTTTGGTTTGGTCAGTCTGCAAGTATGGCACATCTGCTGGCTTTCAAACATTTCAGGGGCCCTTCATTACTGGGATACAATATAGACCACAACACCTTTCTGATTTATATAGTGTCATCGCTACAATAAAGCTCAAATGCTAGTATTTTTATTCTGTAATACTTTTGATCAGAAGTGTTGCATTAAATGTAGATTTATTGTGCAATATATTACAGGTAAATCATTAATGTGCATTTTTAAAGTAGTTTAGACCAGCGGTTCTTTTTCACATCAGGGACCCCTAAACACAAATTAGACCATGGACCCCCATTTGATAAGATTTTGTCCCAGGGTTCCCCATCTGATAGGATTTTTGCTTTTAGATGTTTTATTATAGTGTATGAAACCTATGACCAAAATAGTCAAACATTCTGTCACTGTGCTACTTATGGACAGAATTATAATGAAAATGAAGTATTCCCCTTTTTGCTAGGGATCCCCTAGAACCCCCTCAAGGACCCCACTTTGACAACCACTGGTTTAGACTGTGTCCACTGTTGGCTCATGCTTTTTAACTTTATGGTTAAACTACAAACCAAAACATTTATCTCAAATAGCATTTAATAATTAAATTAAATACTATTTTTAATACAAGAAAAATTTGTATTGACCAAAGACTCAACTTCACATGCCACATGAACTTTATTCAATTCTCAAAATGACAGGTTTGATAGACAAAACATTAGATACTGGAATTAATTATATTTTAAAAAGCCTTCTTTGGAACATCCAAACTTACATTTTCAGAAATGTTATTCAGAACATGACCAAACTGGTATTTTATAAGACAAACCTTGGATTATAATTAGAGCACACTGGAACAAACTGTTTCCCATTTAAGCAGTGGCTTTGTTCTTTTTTAATACTCCTCACCCTCCTCCTCTCCTTCACCCTCAACGGAGTCAACTCCAACCTCCTCATAATCCTTCTCCAGAGCTGCCATGTCCTCTCTGGCTTCCGAAAACTCTCCCTCTTCCATACCTTCACCTACATACCAGTGAACAAAAGCACGCTTAGCATACATAAGATCAAACTTGTGGTCAAGCCGAGCCCAGGCCTCTGCAATAGCAGTGGTGTTGCTCAGCATGCACACGCCCTCTGGACCTTAGCCAGATCTCCACCAGGAACGACAGTGGGCGGCTGGTAGTTGATGCCAACCTTGAAACCAGTGGGGCACCAGTCCACAAACTGGATGGTGCGCTTGGTCTTAATGGTGGCAATGGCAGAATTGACATCTTTGGGCACCACATCTCCACGGTACAGAAGGCAGCAAGCCATGTATTTGCCGTGACGAGGGTCACATTTTACCATTTGATTGGATGGCTCAAAGCAGGCGTTGGTGATTTCTGCCACTGTTAATTGCTCATGGTAGGCCTTCTCAGCAGAGATGACAGGGGCATAGGTGGCCAGAGGGAAGTGGATGCGGGGATATGGCACTAAATTGGTCTGGAACTCTGTAAGATCAACGTTAAGAGCACCGTCAAAACGAAGGGAGGCGGTGATGGAGGACACAATCTGACTCATCAGCCTGTTCAGGTTGGTGTAGGTAGGACGCTCAATATCCAGGTTCCTGCGACAGATATCGTAGATGGCCTCGTTATCCACCATGAAGGCACAGTCAGAGTGCTCTAGGGTGGTGTGGGTGGTCAGGATGGAGTTGTACGGCTCCACCACAGCAGTGGACACCTGAGGAGCTGGGTAGATGGAGAACTCCAGCTTGGACTTCTTGCCGTAGTCTACAGACAGACGCTCCAACAGCAAGGAGGTAAAACCAGAGCCGGTGCCACCTCCGAAGCTATGGAAAACCAGGAAGCCCTGCAGACCAGTGCACTGGTCAGCCTGGGGACAGACAGACAAGACGTTGCGCCCAAATATAAGACATGAGTTAACACAGCTTAGATGATCAAAATCCATAAGAATTAAGGCAAATTAATAATTAAAACATAAGAAATAGTAACTTCAGATTTGATCTATAGCTTATATGACAAGTGTTGCTAGCCGATTTAATCAGC